ACAGATCTTGAGGTTGAAGATTTGAGTGCAGAGTCCAGGGGTGTAATTTAAAAGAATAGAGCATAGAAAAGGTCCTAGATTCTGTCTTACAAATAAATGCTAAATGTGTGCAAAAATAATCTGAATTTGTCAAACATGCGCACATCAGAGTTGTATTCACCACGGCAGGTACTCAGTGTTGATAAATTCAACATGTTCTTAACCAGCATGCTCTTGCACGTTCAGGGACATCCGCATTCAGAAACAACTCAAATAAACCATATGTTAGACGTTAGAGATGATAGGGAACAGTAAGGTCGTTCTTGTAAATTACTGTGGATGGGTTTTCATGGGGGAAGAGGAGTATGAACACCGACTTGAAGCTACCAGACTCGACAGCCGACCCACAAACTTGTTTGGAACCGGCCCTGTATCTTCTTTTATAAAAGTCAACTACAACAAAAAAAACTGAACTCATAGACAAAGCCTGGGCTCATCGCTGCCCATCGCACGCCATCCAGTGCAATCAAGGCTGCGGTTAACCCGGCAGACCGGTGTGTAGGTGAGCTGACCCCGTCAGCCTCATGTTTTCCCTGTCGTGAGAACCAGTCCTTTCTGTCACTGTCCATCTCTTGACCTTTATTCACACTTCAGGTAAGGGGCTAGCTTTTTGACAATATGTAGCCCATGCTGACTGTGTGGAGCCACAGTCATGGTTAAACGTATCTAATGTTAGCGTATATTGAAACGTCATGTTGCATGTCTTAAATGAATTGTTAGAGCTGAATCTCACCAGATCCTGTTGTTGTTCATCAGGAGTGTCTTCAGTCTCTTGAGCAGCGGGAAACCGTCCAGTTTTCTGATCTCGTTATCAGAGAAGTCCACCGTGTCAAACTGGTCCAGGGTCGCTCCCAGATTTTCAAGCACTGGGATTTTATAACCTGTAGGATGAACATGTTCATGAATGCTGAGAGGAGGAACTTGTTTCCTTTACATTTGGATATCATTTGCTGTTGGACTGTTTCAAAGACAACGTAGGTTTCTTTGGATTCGATCACGAGTACACAAAACACAAGTTAAAAAGTGAATAATCATGAGTCCTACTTGTTTTATGTCTGAAAGTGTATCTAATAATTTTTAAATTGCTCAAGTAGAGTTCTTCAGGTAATGGTGGACTTCTTTGTAAAGGTAAGACCCTTTTTAACCAGAAACAGCTACAGTACATCACACTCTTAAAAAACACCAGACACCACTGACAAGAACAACAATTACGGTGTAAAGATGAGCAAAATAATCATGAAATCTGCTGCATCACAGGGTGAAGAAACATCAGTGTGTGTATCTGTTTAACAAGTTACTGGTGTCTTTCTGTTAAATGTGTTTATGGTTGTAGTAGTGTCCTAACAGATGCCTTTATGGTTATCTGTTGTGTTGTCAAAAATCCTCATTGATGTCTCAAGAATGTCAGTCATTTAAGACACTTTCCGTCTTCAACATCTGCTGTAACTACGACAACCACAGCCGCGTTCAGCTGAAAGTCACCAGTTAACACGGTCACTCTTTACACCGTAACACCGGGAAGGCGGAATCTGTTAATATCTGTTCTATTTTACCGACATATGTACTCCTAGTCCATAATGGCAAGCTATACGACTTAACAGCTAATTGGCCAGTCCACAAAAAACGTAATAAAAACGTCCTGAACATAACTCTGCTCCGCTCCACCTTTCATTACTTAAAAGTGGATGTAGCTAAACTATCAGAGCTGCAGGAGATACTTGCCAGAGTTTTTTATAGCTAATTTCAGACAACGCAAATGTAACCTTGTAGTAACTTAATATTCAAATAAAATAAGTTTTCTGTTCATATCAGAAAGTCAGAATACTAACCCGACACATTGGTTGGGGTTCAGCTACTGTAGAGGCCCGTGTTTAGCCTCAGCGAGCTAACAATGCTAACTACAGAATGTAAAACTAACCTCGTAGATCCAGCTCTCGGTCTCTCACAGGGTTCGTATACTGAGCAGCCTGCTCGATCAGCTCCGCTGTTAACTTCACCATGTCGATGCCAACAAGCGACGTTAAACAACAAAGAGATCTCGTATCTGAAAAACGTGCAGCGCAGACCTACAACACTATCCCGCTTCAGCACGTAAAGCGGAAGTGTGACTTCTTCTTCGGATTTATGCCGGATGCGTGTATAGAGGGGTTGACAGTCAACTTGAAGGTACTCTACCGCCACCTACTGTGTACGTGTGGGAACATCTTCTCCTTTGTTGGAGCTTTACGGCAGTCAAATCAATTTAGATAATAGATAGATAATAGATAGATAAGATAGATAATAATTTAAGATGGATAGAATCTTTATCATCATTGTATACAAGGACACAACGAAACTTCATCAGCAGCAATCCTAAACAGCAGCGTTTACAAAAACAAAAATAAACAAAAAACAAATATATATTTGTGGTGATATGAAAGAGAAATATGCAAAAAGTGTCCACAGCAATTGCTGCTCAGTGAATGAATGATAATAATAATAAATAAATAGACAGTTGTGGTGACTAAAAGAATATATACAGTTATTATTTTTGCAGTGACTGATTAGGTAAACAAATATATATTCACATTACTGACATATTCAGTTTTCAATTTTCCAATATTCCCCAATTCTCTAATCATAGTCACCTTTAAGAAAGCAAAGATACATTAACCCCCTTCCACAGTGCTTCCCATGAATTACTTCTAATACTGAAAAAACTAAAATCCAATTAGAATTTCAAGTGAAAATATCTAATAATTACCCTTGATATAAGCCAGATTTACCTGATACATTTAGATAATGAGCAAGAATCAGTAGATGCAATGGGTAAAAATATTTGCTAATGCAGCAAGCAAAATGTATTTATATTTCATAAAATGAACTATCTGACCAAGTACAATTTGCTTGCATTTTTTTATCTCACAACAAGCAATTTAAGACTTATTATTTTGCTTGTAATTTCTTGAAATAGTATTCAGATTTGTCATGTGAATGTGGCTTATTCTAAGGGTAATTAGATATTATGACAATAAATCAGTCAAATGGGCTACAGTTAGAGTTGAGTTTTTGCAGTAATTGTCCCCTTGAAAAAAATCTGTCAATCATTTATTGTCTGTCATGCATTTTTCTCCTTTAAACTAGAACGCACTTCACTCTATTGGCTGCATGTCATTGATTGTAACACCTTGTTAGTTGTCTTCCCTAATGAGTGTATTCTTTGACCTTCTGTCCTTATTTTCAACATTGCAGTATTTCCCGACAAGTACTGTGCTGTGCTTTGTCAAATATTTTAGGACGTTTGAGCAAATGTGCAGTGGGAGGTAAAAGCAAGATAAAAATGAGCCATCAGTGAAAACAAGATCAAATGTGCTGAGTTCAATAAATGTGATTGAAATGTATTATATGAGGATAAGCCCCTTGAGGTGTGTCACCTCATTTAAATAATCTAGTACTACATTTTTCTCCTCCAGCATCGCTGCTGCATTGTTATGACTTGTTTATCTCACTGATGGCTGCTGGGACAAAGGTATTTTTGTACCACTTGGTTTTACAGGATGGTACTTTAGGCAATCTATGTGTGCAATTTGATTTAGACAGTTTCTGTTTTTACGAGAGAGGTTCCTTAAACCATGACAGCAAGCAAAAAAATGAAATATTCAATACAAGCATGACAGAATAAGGTCATCAAAATTCTGTTTATGTGGAAGAATGGACAGTTTTCTCATAACATCAATGGTGTCCCCTTTGATTGTTCCAAGATATCTGTAGGTTTGTACACACTCTTGTAGTGGTGACTCCCTGTGCCTGGACGGGGTCTTCAGAGGTCAATAAAGGAGGAAGGATTCTTCACACCATACAACAAAGTCCTGAATGACTGAACCATGACTGGTGTCATTGTCTAACTGATACTCACATAATGGTCTGCGTACTTTTAGAATGGTTCTATCCTCTCTGCTGCTGCGACACATATTAAAACCAATTGGGAACCAAGCTTTAAGGTTGACCTTAAAAAAAGCAGAATTACCTAGTTGAGGAATATATATTGACAATGTAAAACAACTTTAGAGCCACTAGCCTACTACTACTACTATAATATGACAATGATAATTTAAAAAAATAAAAATTATTTTATTATAATACTTTAAAAGAATCTTAGCTTTTCTACATCAGAATTTAGGCCTAATGGTCAATGAAAAGAGGCCGCTTAAACTTGTTTGTGGAACTGCGACATGATAACTTTACTCCAACTGTTATGACACATCAGTGCTGTGGTTATAATGACCTTTCTTAAGATAGATAGATAGAATCTTTATTATCATTGTATACAAGGACACAACAAAACTTCGTTAGCAGCAATCCTAAACAGCAGCGTTTACAAAAACAACAACAAAAATATATTTGTGGTGATATGACAGAAGTATGTAAAAAGTGGCCACAGCAATTGCTGCTCAGTGAATGAATGATAATAATAATAAATAAATAGACAGTTGTGGTGACTGAAATAATATATACAGTTATTATTGTGCAGTGACTGATTAATTTAACAAATATAAATATAGAGATATAGTGCAAATAAGTGAAGTTATGGTGCAGTGACAGAGTACATACAGTTATTATTGTGCAGTGACTGGATGAGTAAATAAACAGTTTTAGTGCAATGAATAAATAAATAAATAGACAGTTGAAGTTAAAGTGCAGTGACTGAGTAAATAAATAGACAATTGTAAAGCAGTGAATTACAAAGTTATTAAACAAGTAATATTGAACAGTTAGCAGCAGTTGGGTAATTATTATTATTATGGGTGGGGGTGTTTATGGGTTGAGTAGTTTGTCCACAGCTCTGGGATAGAAGCTATTTTTTAGTCTGTTTGTCCGTGTATATTTCCTTTTATTAGTATATAAATCATGTTATCATGTTTATTGACTCTATGGTGTGACGTTTGTGGTATCCGGGAATAAAGGCGGAGTGAGTGCTCTGCCTGTTTCCCTCCTCTCTGTGCCAGACGGAGCAGCAGACGCGCTCAGACAGACAGAAGGTTAAACATGGATCCAAACACGACGATTCTCCGAGTCAAGAGAAAAAGGGGGATCGACCCCGCAGATGCCTTGTTGCTGGCGTGTAAGCGTATCCGTCCAGAGCCGTCCCAGACCTCAGGAGAAACGGTACCGGAGCCCAATGAGGCCGAGATCGAAAACTCTGTCTTCAAACTCGTGGCGACCGTCGCGACGCAGGTGAGAGGCCCGGCCGAGGAGAGCAGGCTAGCGGCTACGCAGCTGACGCGGAGAACGGCAAATAAACATCATTTAGCTTCTCGGTACAAATGTGATGAGTCACTAAAATTGGCGGACTGATGACAAAATGAATTTGACGTAGTTAGTAATTTAAATGATGGGTGAATGACTCGCATACTCAGCTAGTTGTTGTTAGCGTAGCACTCAAACATTAGCCTGAGCATGCGTTAGCTTTTATATTGACGTTTAGTGAAGCTGTGACGTATGAAGGACAAAATGACAAAAAAGTATAAATAAATGTGGGGGGAAATGCATACAATAATGTATAAATAATTAAATAAATGCATAAATAAATATATAAATGTTGAAAATAATACATCAATGAATAAATAATAAATACACTTTGTTAATGAAAAAGGCTATTTATATATTTTTACATGTATTTATTCATTTATTAGCGTATTTCTACAGTTATATATGTATCAATGCATACATTTCCACATTAATTGAGTTATTAATTTATTTCCGTATTTTTACATTTACACATCTATTTATTTCTGTGTCCAGGTCGTAAGATGAAAAGTATATATGTAAATTTGCTTCTGTCTGTTTTTCAAAATTGACCAATTACAGTCTATGATCCTACTTCAGTAATGTTAGGACGGCTCACTTAATTTACATATTTACTTTTCCTTGTTCAACATGGACACAGAAATACATAAATATATTAATTGATGTATTTATTTATACTTTATTGTATGCATTTCTCCCAACACTTATTTATTTATACTTTAGTCATTTTTTTCCCTCATAGCTGTGACTTTTTTTAGGCCTCTAAAACGACATGGCGACTTACATTTCCACGTATATTTACCAGAATAACCAATGTGAATACTCACAGAATCTTTATGGACATACAGTCTGTGTTCTCTGTAACAATAATATAATACCATGATTAGCCGTTTTGATGAAATCAAGACCTTTTAATTGTTCTACTTTCACTTTTTATTTTTATTTTGATAGTAATAGACAGTTAAGGCGTATCAGCTAAATTTGACATTTTGAGAAATCAGGCGTTGATTCAATGACGATTGGAGTTGAAAATGAAGAAATTTGACATGTATTTGTTTTTTTGTGTGGTGCATCGTGTACAATTCCCTTAAACATCTGGTTCCCATAAGAATTGAAGACCATTATATTTCTCAAATCATTGTAGAGCCTGATAGTTTGTCATCTCCTCTCCAGGATGCTCCTGTTCAGACGCAGGTCCGACAGGCTCTGGCTCGGCCTCGTATGGCCCACCCACTGCGCCCTTCTGCTGCGAGCAAGCAGCGGATAGTTGGAGACCTGAGGAGCACAAAGTGGAGTACACGGAGGGAGGAACGCTACAGAATACTGTCAAACCTGCGTACAGGGGTGTCAAGCCCAGCTGAGCACCCAAACCCCCAGACTGATGCTCCAGAGGGTGCAGAGGAGACTGTGAAAGAGCATAAAACATGTCTGGGTGAAATCCAGGTCGTAGATCTTGTACATGAGGATGCAGAGGAAGAACAGGAAGACAAGCCTTCCGGCAAGGTGAGTGGAGTTTTTATTTGTTTATTTTTCAGCTCGAAGAGATGAGTAATGCCAGGAATCAATACATGCACACTACTCAGAGTCCAGACTGCACTAAGTATGCATGCTCTAACTACTCTGCTAAACCAGTGCGTCTTAAATGCATATTATTACTCTGTCAAGCTTGGTGTTGTGAAGTTTCAGTTAGGCTTGTTTTTCTGTTCATTCAGCCTGGCTTTTTAAAGTACAGTGTTTGCATGTGTATCATGTTACTCTGTTACTAACCAGCAGCAGGTCAACGGGTTCGGTTGATGAGACAGAGGGTGAAGTGAAGGACAGGGACTCTGGTTAAAGAAGTAAAACATTGATATAAAATCTGAGTAGATCAATTCTGTAAAAAAAAAATTAAAAAGACTCAACAAAGCTCCAAAACTTGATCACTATAAATATTTTAAAATAAAGTGTTAGAATATGATTTAGGGTGGAAAACTTGTCCTTGGTACCTCAACTGCATGTTCTTGGGTTCTTCACTGCTAATTTGGGTGTCATGTAAGTGTGTTTAAATCTCAGTCATTCCGTGTCAATTTATGTGCAATGTGAAGCTAAGTGTGCTAACATTAGCCTGCTAACACAACAATGCAGGCCACAGGTGATTGCAGCTCGAGCAAAGGACAAATTTGTCCACCGCTTGCGCTTAATAAGCAATTTTTTTTTTGATCCAGCAGATGTCACCCTTGAGCACCAGCATGAAACTAAAACAACTCGTGCTGCATTGTTGTGTTAGCATGCTAATGCTAGTGATCTTTATTATGCTGGTATCTTCACACTGCATGTAAATTTACCTGAAATGAGCGTGATCTAGAAACACAGTTAAGCAGTGAGTACAGTATGTTATTCTTCTTTTCTCTAGTCCCTCAATTAAACAACTTTTATACACGAGGGGAGGAGTCAGCCGGCCGTCCTGGCGATGGAAACAAAGTGAAGATGGGACTCTGAAAACTCTGAAAACATCACAGACAGTGGGACTCGGGTGTTACACCCATTGTAGACAGTCATGACTCACAGAGTTATTTTCAGAGGATATACTTGATTTATATTATATTTAAGTGTGAAAAAATCACAGAAAGCCTTGAATATGGTCTGTCTTACCCCCAATCCCCACAAACTGCCTAACATAAGAATCAATCGTGATTCTGTATATTGTTTTATTTTGAAATTGACCAGATGCTCTGTGCATTTCCATGTCTGACTTTCGGTCCAGCTTGACGTTAACCTGCCGTGTACTCCTGTCGAAAATACGCTTGCATCTATTTCAAACGGAGCAGCAGAGCGTAGTGGCGCTGGTGGAACGCTCTCGAGACAGACCGCAGCGCTTGCTGTCGAAACACATTGATTGAGTAGAGCGGCAGCAAACTACGGCGTAGTGCATGGCGCTGACGGGCCGTGTATGTGGAAATTGGGCGTTATTCATAAATCCTTTGTGTGAAAGCGAGTGGAGGGGGGTTTGGAGGTGTGCCGCTGGAGGAGAGCGGAAGGTTTCAGAAAAGCGGAGGTGTCGCCACATAGCGTGCTTGTTTTGGTTTAATACTGGTGCTTAAGGGCGACATCTTCTGGATCAAAAAGTTGCACATACCCCTTTGAGGGAGCCCCCCATCAGTTTGCCATAACACCATGCTTACCCCCCCCTTATCACATTCACATATTCTATTTTGTGTTTCCTGCTTTTTAAAAAAAAAAAAAAAAAAATTGTAGATGCTGTCCTCAGATCCAGAAGTGATCCTGTGTAACAACATGAAGATGCTGCGGGAACATCTGAGCATATCTGGAGAGAGACTCGGAGAGGACCAACAGGAGCAGGAGGTCGACTACGTCTATGACCTTTACTACCAGGAGACGGTCACACCGGGCTGGATCCAGGACATCCTGTCTGTCAGGGCCTACGCCGATGAGGGAGAACTGGTGTGTGTGGATGGATGGACGGACAGATGAATGAGTGCTGAACTCTGAGTGAGTGAATGAAGACATGGGTGAAGTCTATAGTGGGGAGGGGAGGGGGGGGGGGGACAAGGGGTCTGAGATCAAACAGGGATTTTGGATTTAAATATATCCAGAAGGGTGTGTTGGTGCACAGATGATCCTGACTGTTACAGATCTCTACCTGCTCTAATTAACCGTGCTGTCTTGTTTATGTTTGCTTAATTAACTCAAGGAAGTGACACTGGATCAGGCACTTTTTTTTTTTTTTTTTTTTATCACTCTATGAAGTTGTTGCTGGTCTGATGTAACATATGAGAACATCATACAGAAGCCTCCTGAAAATCTACATGGGAAAAGTATTCAAAACAGTCTCTCATATATGTGGCACTTTTAGTTTAGGGTAACATTACAGGGACTTATTCAAACGTGTCTTGCTTGTTTGAAAGTGCTCAGGGTAGTGTAACAGATTGATTTCAGGTCTGTGTCTTTAACAACAAGGGTTGCTGCATTTTTATCACCATGATCGCATGACTTGTTATTTTCACACTCAGTCGTCTGAGCATAGTAAACAAGCGATGACTGGCTGTCAGATAAATGGTAATTTATTTGTCTAAAGGTGCCTGATGTGGTTCATGAGGAGGAGGTGTATGAAGATGAAGACGATGAAAACGAGGAAGGCAACTGGAGGAATGACTACCCAGATGAAGGAAGTGACGCAGACAGTGACCGAGAGGAGCGCTATGGTGGTACGTAGTGATCGGACGAGGGCTCAGTTTGGCCTCGGTAACGGTGAAGAATGAATATAGACCAAGGGGGATGAGGTCAGAGTGCTCGACAAAACTCATCTCCTCTAACATAAAACAAAGACAGTTTGTAGCATGTTGCTTAAATAATACCTTTTACTTTATGTGCATAGTTAAAATTGATACCATAATGTATATAACTGTTTTTAGGGTCAGTATATTATTGTCCTTTGTGTGTATGCACAACATTTTATGCCACACCTTCGTAAGTCAGGGTCCAAGTTGGGCAGCCCCTCCACTGCACTATATAATCTATCCCATAATAAAGCCACAGTGTAACGGTACCGTGTCAGCTTCATGTTCATGCATTAAAGATTTGATTCTTCCTGAAAAATCAGTAATCCAGATTTTCGTCCTGAATAGTTGGTCCACGGTAATCCTGGATATCTTTAAAGAAGAGGGGAAATAAGCAGGACATCCACAGCCTAAAATGTGTGATGATACTTTTACTATACAAGTGTCCGTGTTAATGTTTGTGTCGAGCGCAAATCCAACTTATTTAAAAAGAGGACGGTGGTGAGCAACAATAGATGGTTGTGATGTATTCTGGCTGTGCATGTTCAAGTCTTGTATGATATTCATAATAAAAGCTTGTATTAATATAGCACCTTTCAAGATACCAGGGACGCTTTGAAGAGGACATATCAGCCCCCTTTTCAAACAGTCCCCTGTGGTCTAAATGAAACATCTGTGCTGTGCTTTGGTCAAAATATAACATGAATCAAGCACCAGAGGAGGTTTGTGACCCTGTATAAATATAGATTTATGCAAGTTTTAAACAAAGGACTGGATGGGTTTATTTCACATTGTGTGGGTCGTAGACACTCGGGTTACTAGATATATGTTCAACAACACTGTAAAAGAGGATTTTTCACACTTTAACACAGAACATACAAACAAAGGTTTTTCTCTCTTTGCTCGCTCGCCTAATCTGATTCCCCATCCTAAAGCCTGAACACTGACCCCCTCAGACTTTATTGATGACAGATCTGTAGTGTGTGAGGGCTTGAGGGACACACTATCATGACATCACACAGTGCCTGGAAACAGGATGTGCCATTCCATAATTATAAAAAGCCACATGTACTGTTTGAATAACTCTACATGTACGTCTGTGTACAGGTTACTGGGAGGAGGAGCACTCGTACAGCAGGAGGAGCTGGGAGCACTACCAAAGGGAGGTGCTGCATGAGCTGGGCCGCCAGGGTGAAGAGGAGGATGATGATGGGGACAAATATGATTCAGATTGATCAGGTCTCCTAACCCACACCTGTCAGTGTATCCTCCAAACATCCCTTTTCACAAACACCATGCTCCGTAGCACTCTGTATAGCTGAGGGGAGACGTCTGCAAGATCAGCATGGAACAGAACACTCATCAGAATTTATTACATTTAAGTGAAACTGGGACGGCTTTTTTTTTTTTTTTTTTTTTTTATAAATGCTTGAACAATATGACAGGCTGTAAACTTAACAAATGAAAGGTGTAGTTTCATGTTAAAAAATTACATCAGTTTTAATAAGTGCTCATAGCCAGTGAATATCACAGCGGCTGCTAGCTGAACTACGGCTTACCTTTCTCTGGGTACTCTGCATGTTTTAAGGTTCAGAGCCCGTCATCGTCCATTTAAGGTTAAAACTAGAGCAGAATTTTCCACAGAGGTCTCTTCCTCTTAAAGAAACCTACTTGGCATTTAAAAGCAGTAAATGAACACTTAACTTTGATTAAAAACAGTCGGTGTTACTTCCTTTTTCTTACAGGTTAAACATGAGAGAAATAGTCGACACCCTCCCCAAACACACACACAATTTATATTGAACAGCAAAATCGGATTAGCCTGATTAGCTTCTCTGTTGGATATAGCCCAAACCCAATATGCTAACAAGGACAATTTAGTATAAATGTCTAAACCTGCATTAGTATTTGATATTATATTTGATTTTCAGAGTGGACTCTCTCTCCCCTCGTCTATACAGAGTCAGGGAGGCGGTGTGCTTTCCAGTTGGATCCAGAGTGTCTTTTTATTTTTTAACTGTGGTGGAGTGAACTTGTGTGTGGGTGTTTGTGTTCAAAGTGAATGTGTGTTAGAAATGTTGCATATTAGTGTTATATGCCCGGTATGCTTTGTGCTTTTAACACTTCTGTTAGTGAGACATCTTGAAGCTGCGTGTGTTTGCATTTTAGGGTGTTTGCATTTTGTGCATGGTAGTGTGTGTGTGTGTGTGTGTGTGTGTGTGTGTGTAGGTACACTTGTGTATGTTTAAGGTTTTTTTGCATAATGTGAGATGTGTGATACATAAGCGTTGTTGTATGTGTGGTTTAGAAATCCTCTTTGATTGTTTCTCTTGGATGCTTGTTGAATGAAACTTTTTGTAAATATGTAGATGTGTATAAAAAGAAAACTTTGAAAATAAACTTCAAACATCTGTGTGAATTTGTCTTACATGATCATGCACATCCTACACATATGATCAGGTCAGACATGAAACAGGTTGAACCTCCATAATGAAGATCGAAACATTTGGAAAATTATTTCTATCTCTCAAATGTGTCAGGGCTAAAATAACAGTTTAACTTGCTTGGTTTTCAAAATATGACTTTTATTTTGCAACATTATTTTGCAGGGAGATGCACAAGCCTTCTGTCTCCCTGGATACAGTGCTCAAGTAGAGTAACAATTTCAGCCTGTACTCTTCAAAGTTCATGTAGTAACTTCAAAAATATTTTAGAAACATTGACAGAAACATTTTACTGATTTTGAATACTAAAAGTGAGCCTAATGTTTGAATAAGAAACAACGTAATTATAAACCAAATACCATCATGTCTTTATATAACTATCCTGTGTCGCCCTGTTACTAGACATTTGCAGTATTTAGAAAAGTGACTCCACAGCCTCACTTTTTACTTGTGACAAGTGATGGAGGTTCGTCCATCAAACGTGTACACTGGTGATGTAAGACTGAAATATAGCATTATCAATATTTTACATCTTCATACTTTTATTTATGGAGTATAAGGCTACAGAACAAGTACAGTATAGACTAGGGGTTCCCAAACTTTTCAGGTTGTGACCCCCAAAATAAGGGTGACAGAAACTGGGACCCCCCACTGTTCTTTAAGGTGGTTAGTTAGATATATAACGTAGCGACAGCCACGCACACACTAATAAACCAATCCAAAAACTAGGAACACAAAATAATAAAACAGCCTAAAAACAATAAAAAATGTACACATTAATTTCACTTAATGACACTGTCTTATATGACATTGGACTACTTTTTGTATATTTACAAAAATGGGTAAAAAGATATACTAATGCACTTTGAAATATTTAAATTTTTTATGGAAGGCATCTCGCGACACCCACTTTGGGAACCACTGGTTTAGACTGTGAGTGATTATCCCTGGGCGATGTATCCTTCAGAAAAATACATTCACTACCTGATTATCAAACTACAACTTATACAGTGTTCCTTAAAATACTATTTTTTTTAATTTAAAACCCCCCTAAAATTATAATGAACATGAAACAAATATTAAGTTCATGGAACCAGGAGATATACCAGGAACTAACTTGTTTACTCTAAAATGAGGACAAGAATGTTTATAGCAAAACCATCCTGCTTCTTGTGAACACAGGAATGTTCTCAGGAGGTTCTTTCTGGTGTACACTGTAACCTTAAGAAAATTTAAACTATTGTTTTTTTTTGTCCATGTCCCCTTAGAGGCTCCATAATGTTCAGTCTCTCTTTTTTGTTGGTTTTAGAATACATGGCCTGAGTACTTGACCCAACCCCCCCCTCCCCCTCCCCCCTCCCCCCCCTCCTCAGTGTACCCACTCAATGCCCCTCAGCCACATAGCCTGTTCATTTACTGAGCCATTTAAGATTAACCCAAAAAATCAAGATAATATGTATAAGTTTTGTAGCACAAAGCGTGTCCTGAGACGAGGTAGGTCAGTAACATGTTGACTGCAAGATCCTAAAAAGATCCCTTTTTTTAAGTTTTTTTGCACAAGTATAAAATCTTGTGACTCACTTTTTTGTTCAGTAATTTACTTTCCCATCCAGGATTAAGGAAGTGCTTCTCTGAGTTCCTACAAACCACTTCAACACAAACATAAACAAGAGGACAAGTAGACACATTTGATGAAAAGAAACCTTTTCATTGACACCATATAGTCTCAGTCTACTTAACTGCATGTGCTGCGGAAAACGAGTCACTTATTTCATATTTCAAAAATGTATAATTTATTCACCCACATCAAAGCTGCAGTTTCCCCTTTTTAACTTCCCCCTGGATTACATGACACAATATCGAAATAGACCAGTGTGTTTCTGAGATTTGTGACAAAAGCACTAAGCAAAGACTCAAATAGATTTCACTTTTATTCCCAATGTGTTGAAAAAGATTTCATTGACTGCAGAGACTCAGTTATTGTGAAATTAAAAAACATGGATTCTTAAATACACTGTGTTGTAAGAGTTCTTCACATGAAACAATCGAGAAGAGAAGATGTGCAAATGTCAAACAATCAACTGGACTTGAAGACAGAGCACTGCAGCTGATGCCTGACTTGCTATGTTGAGCCCAGCTGTTGCTGAGTCAGAACATCTGTCAGTGTCTTTACTACAGCACGTTGTAAAAACAGATTTAGTGCCACACAGTTCAAAGCAAACATAACCGAACGGGAAAATCGGTTTTGGAAGTGCTTCAAATGTTTACAAAAAGTTGTTAAATACATTAAATGAAAAAAACAAAACAAAGAAAAAGAAACCAAAGTTAAATTGAAGAAGAAAAAAACACATAAACAAAACACTGAACGCACGGCACTTAAAGTCGATGAAACTGTCGGGATGATAAATCTTCTCATAGCTTCACACACACACACAATATATTTCATAAATATGTTTGATTCCCTTTTCCATTCCAGAACTTAAACATGACAGATCCTTCAGGGTGGTATCAGACGGTTTTTCAGCTCACTCACACATACTGCATATAATATTGTTTTTAATTTCTAATTCATCGCTCTGCATCATTATCAGGTCCCTGTGGTCGTGTGCAGCTCCTGTCAAATCTCACAGGCACATCTTATTTACAAAGTATATATATATCTATATATAGATACAACTAAATGATGGACAAAAAAGGCAAATCATTCATAGTTGAGGTCATTAAAGAGTGTGATGAAGGAATCAAACGTACGGCATGTTGACAGGTGAAAGTCATTGAAACCTGGGATAAATCTGCAGGTGTCTGTGCATCATGTGGCAGCATTTCAGTGTTGTAAACAAGTCAGTTACAGTTTAATAAGAGGGACAAAGTCCTTTTTTTTCACAGTAGATTTTCTTCTTCTTCTTGTTTCCCCTGGTGACTGTCAGCTGTGAGGAAGCAGAGACGTTTTGGATTTATTCACTTTTGTCCAGCTCTGTGAGTACACAGAAGCAGGTGAACTGAGTGAGGTGAGTCAGAGAACCTGCAGGAAGAGACAACATGTTAGCCTGCTCAGTCATCACTATTTTAAAAAACAATACGTGTGTCCCTGTTGTTGTGATGCTGGACGATGTGTAGGTCGACTCACGTAGCAGCTTGGTGATGATAGGTGGTCGTTTGGACACTGGCAGATGGACACCCATGAAGTAGACAGGAACCCCCGACAGGGCGATGCCGATGCCAATCAGAGAATTGATGGTGTCGCTGTAGAGGGGAACGGCCACCAGGAAGATCGTGCACAGGCAGAAGATGACCGGGTACACCAAGGTCAGCTGCAGGAGGGAAATCAGGAGGCAGACTGAGAGCTCAACACACAACTAAAAACATTCTTCATATTTCATTAAAGGATCTTTGCTTCCATTATGTGACTTCTATGTGATAAATGTTTGACCTGGTCAGTTCATTAAAATGTTTACAGTCAACTGGATAAAGAAGTATAAACTGTTTTCTCAGTGAGTGTAGAAATGTGTTACTTATTCCAAAACACAACAAGGACTTTTAATAAACCACTAAATGCATCTCATTTATGAAACTGACATCAGAAAGAGTAATGTTGTTATTACATGATTGTTAATGATGGTCTAATAGTTATCTATTCCTCTTTTCATTCATTTTTATTTGAAGCTTGATCAAATGATTTTTTCTGTAAGGAGCTTTTATTTGACTTGTTGACATAGACAATATAAATATGGACATAGTTATTTTAAAGATGTTTTATGTTAATCCAATGTATTCATTTAGCAAATAATGAATAAATGGATTGGTGCTGAGGAAAACACAGGAATGTTTATCTGGTCTTACCTTGAGCGGTCTGGGTCTGTCAGGCTCCTTCCAGCGGAGGTAGATCTGCCCGGCGATGGACAGACCCATGAAGAACCAGTAACTAAAGCTGTAGTAGTTGATGAGCTGGAAGACATCCTCCACTGTGAGGTAGATCAGTGACATCACGCACTGCACAGAGGACAGGAGAGAGGACAGAGGAGAGACAGTGAGGGAGAAACTGTTAAAAAAACGTCTATAGAAGAAAAGGACTGCATTATTGTCACCTCTTTGGTTTAACTTAAACTTAATCCTATGTTTTTTTTAGAATGGAAAATAAATTTAGCATAGTCACTATCAGGGCTGGGAATCTTTGGGTGTCTCACAATTCGATTCGATTTCAAATTCTTGGGGTCACGATTCGATTCAGAATCTATTTTCGATTCAGAATCTACTTTTGAATGAGTACATGCTTCAGGATCTACTCCAGTCATCTGTGAGACCGGCTGAATTTCTGCTGCATTTGGCATTTGAGTTAAAGAGCTAGCCTTAGCATTTAGCAGGGTGTGACTGATTAGCCAAACAGAAAAAATCGATTTCTGAAAGTTATGAATCAATTTAAACCTCAGAGGATAAGAATCTCGAATTTCTTTCATAAAATGATTTTTTCCCCACCTCTAGTCACTATCATAACCACTGTAACAACTGTAAAGTAACATTTCCTGTATCTCCTCTTCTAACATTACGTCATTAGCTCTATTCAGACTTTACGCCCCTGTGACGTTTGCGTCTTTAATTTGAATGTTTCAGAGGCGTAATGTACCATCTTTGGAAGTAGTAAGAGAGGTGTTACAGAAGTGAGTACTGTATCAGAGGAGCCAGTGAGGCAGCTCTAGCTGTGCTGTGCTTCTGAAACACAATGTGAATTCACAGACTGGGACACCAATATTACGCCATTGCGGAGTCAGTATGAATATACAAAGACGTGATGACAGATGAGCTCAGGTACGGAATTTTTGCGGAAAAAAAGCAGTCTGAAAAGGGCTATAGATACATTTCCGTACATTGAAGAGGAGAGCAGGGATGGGAGTGAATCTTTGAATGTGATCATGGACAGAGCGTCTGGAAGGTGACCCTCACGAGAGCCAACGAAGAACAACCTGGACACAACAAACATGGATTACATGAAAGAAATAAAATAACTTTTATACAGCTCATATTAAGTAAGCACAACCAGAGCCAGAGAAAATGAGAATGAACAGGATAAGCACCTAGATGCCGCTATAATGGAGGCGTTGAGGCCTCCGTAGCAGGACAGAGCCACAGCGATGGGGATGATCCAGCTCATCACGCCGAGAGTGTGATCTGCAAAAGTCTACAGCAGACAGAACAAGATTTAACCGCTGCAATATGTGCATCTTGTGTCCAAAAGGGCGTACAGCTACTTTATTTACCACTGCCACTGCATCGCTGGCCAGTATGGCACTAACATCCAGAACAGCATAGTAAGCCACGTTGGTGAGGATGTAGATGATGGTGACGATGGGCATAGAGATGGCGATGGCCAGCGGCAGGTTCCTGAAACATCAAGATCATTAACAGGCTCATTCAAGTATTCTGACCTGCTGCTTCTGCTTTATACACTTTGTAATGAAAAAGGAAAAACAGAAAAGAAAATACCTTTCAGGATTCCTTATCTCCTCTGTTACAAAGTTAAGGGTGTCCCAGCCGGAGTAGGAGAAGAGCGCAGAGTAGAGCGCCAGAGCAATGTCCCCAGGGTCTGTAGACGATCCCTGAAAGGATGATTCAAAGTTGGTGGTGTAGCCTGAAATGGAGTACAAACAATTAAGGACACAAACTTCCATCGAGCAGTTTAAGCCCATGATGTATCAGAAAAGTGAAATGACTCGACTAAACGAGCTCACAGAAGGTCTTTCAATGAGAAATGTAGTGTGACCTCACACTTACCCTGGCACAGCTTGACGATCCCACTGATGATGATGACGATGAGGGCGGCCACCTTGGCGTAGGTGAAGATGTCCTGCACACGGGTGCCCCACTTCACATAGGCAGAGTTGATGAATGTCAGTAAGCCTGTGGAGAGAGAGAGACAGGGGGGTATCACAGACTTTACTGGATAAATGTTTTACTCCCGATAAAATAACTACGGGGGACACCGAGCACGTCCGAAAAGCTGAGAATATTTCAAAACTATGAAGTCCCTACTTGCTCTGCTACACATACAAAGGGACGACACCATTACTGAATGTACCCCAGCACTTGTATCTGCTTTAGATGTTTCATTAAATTAAGTATTAGAACACATTTGAAATTACATAAATGTGGATACTGTGATTGGCCAGCTCGATAATATCATCCAGCATACATATCATACAAGCTCTTGTACTTACATATACAGGCTGCAGCGATGAGCCTGGAGGCAACATATGGGGGTTCACAGGTCGGGAAGAGAGGCTGCACCAGGTAGTTAGCGAATGTGATTGCGATGACCGCCTGGCTAGTCGGCTCAATAATCAGCAAAGACGTCCACAGACGAATGAAAGCGATGAAGCCCCCGAATGATTCCAGGATGTAAGCATAAGATGCCCCCGATTTGGTGATGGTGGTGCCCAGCTCAGCGTAGCAAAGGGCCCCCACTACAGAGAACAAGCCCCCGATGGCCCAGATGACCAGCGACAGCCCGTAGGAGGCGCTGTAGAAGAGCACACCCTTTGGAGAGACAAAGATGCCCGAGCCGATCATGTTTCCTACGATCAGGCTGACTCCGTTGAGCAACGAGATCTCCTTCTTGAGCTGCATGCTCTCTTTGGGCGGCTCCAGGAATTGGGACGTGTGACCAGCACTGCCGTCGTTCTTCTTGGATTCTTCATTGTCGGCCATGTTGTTTCGTCTTAGGGCTGAACCAGCAGCAGCCTAGGACAAGCAAGTGGACGCTAAAGGCCCCCCGTCCCTCTCTGGCAACAACCTGCCCAACAGATTTGGATGTCATTTTTGGTCAAGAAAAAGAGAAACTTTAATGCCAAAAAGAGAATCTTGTGTTACAATTTTCTTTGGACTAGATATTAGGACATGGGATGAATAAGTAGAGGTGGGCGATATGGGAAAAATATCATATCACAATTTTTTTTTGGCAAAATCCTGATCACAATTTTATCACAATTTTTTTCATACTGTTCTTTAGACTAATTTGTAAGTTACTGACCAGTTCAACCAAATGTATTTCCCTGTACAATGTTTTTAAATGCACAAAAACTATTTGAAAATCTTTGTAGGAGGTCTGGAGGTCTCACCCAGAACATCTTTAGCAACAGAAATGTCTTTCCCTCAATTTGATCAATATTTATACACAATTTGAAGGTTTTCCTTACCACTTTGAAATGATGATTCAGTTATATGTCCTCTTTTTATGTTCATCAGGAACATTTTCACACAGTGATGCATTCATTTAAAAACATGTAGACTTCAAGTGTTTCTGTTCTGTTTTAGCCCTGCAGAGTTCCTCCAGCTGTAGCTTCATACAGGCTCTGCAGACTTTGTTGTTTTTATGACATCATTGGACTAACTTTAGTTTAGTTTATATATAATCAAACATAATACAGAATGTGTTCATTCTGTGACACATGATCAAAGTAAGTTTTACTGACAGAAGAGTTGAATTCATAGAGGGGGCGGGACATTGTTGATTGACAGACAGACAGTCACCATGGTTACTCACTCTCACCTGCCTGTTGCTTTGTAACATTGTTTAGCTTAATCCCTATAAATTCAGTTATCACAACAGGTGAGCTTCAGGTGGAGAGGCTTGATAGTAACTTTTAAAAACTGAGAAAGAGCAGAAAACACAGACAGCAACATTTTAACAACAATCACAGGAAGCCACACCTTAAGGAATATCTAGCCTACTTCTTTACTTCCCTTGAAATAGCAACATAATTTCCCCCCATGTCATTTAGAAGGGGCAAGCCTCAACACTGACAATTGACACCAATGAGAAAAAAAAAAGTATAAATAATATACTAAGAAGTAGGGTCATTTTCTCTTAGAATGATAAAGTAGCAGAATCAGTGGTCATTAGTTCACTCGGTTCATTTATGTTAAAAGGATCAAATGGATGTGTTGTAAAAAGTCTGAAGACGGTTTCATATCAGTGAATGAACTCAAAGCAAACTCACCCACTAAACACCGCCTGCTTTTCTGATGATCACAGACCGTCAGTGACTCACTATGATCTCATAACAACAACAACAACAGGCATATGGAGAGCAACACAGCAGTTTCCTCCTACACATTCATCCACACGATCAGCTGGAGTGGTTTGGAGGTGTGATTCTCTATGTCAGTGTGTGAACTCGTGTGTCAGACTGTGAAGTGCGTCAAGTCTCATAAAGCTCAGTTAACAATCGTGAAGGAGATGTCAGGAGTGATGTACTAGTACACCCTGATACTTCATGTTCAAATGCTATAGCCAGGAATAAAAAACAAATATATTCAACTCAGTTATAGTTGTATAGCTCTGCTGCAATAATCCTTAACCTTGATTTGATGGTAGGCTGCTTAACACTCTTAAAAAAATCACTTACAAGCTCAAAAAACCTTGTTAACTGCTCACTTGGGTGTGTAAAGGTCACAAAGGTCTGAAGTGATTTCATAAGGTTGTGATGTTCTGGGTTTGAAATAAGCCCAGCGCCTCTGTCATGATTACTCTCCTCGACCACTTCAGATTTCTATATTTTTAACTTTAAGTTTCCCAGACTTGTGAGATTTTGAAAAGCGTTATTCACATTTTCTTATAATTGTGCATGTCAGACCGTTATCATCTGAGGCTGCAAGCCAGTTTTACAGTAGTTTTCGATTCCCTTAGTAATAGAGACAAGCTCTAGTCTTAAAACAATCTGTTTAACGAGATCATTATAATTATATCAAGGTTTCTATTCATTCATCTTTTTCTCCAAATCTGTGTCAAACACAAAACACACACCACCTGCCTGTTAAAGTATTATGAGTAGTATCTTCTTGTGTAGTAGTCCACCATGAGATATTTCAAGTTGGGATCCGTCTATTCTCTGATGCGATGATAGGTCTGTAACATGAGTGCTAATGTGTGTCACAATAATATAAACGTGATCATGAACAAAGCGTTTCAAAGCATCCCCGGAAACACCGGCATCAAGCTACACAGCATGACCGACCTCCCATCCGCTTCACTTTTCAAAATAAAGCAACAGTCGCATCAACTTTATTTTCTCTATTTCCGTCAGTCTCTTACCTTTACCAAGTCAAGTATATTTGCATTAGCCATAGTAACATATCTCACAAAGGGGGCTTTAAGGGCAACAAAAGCACACAAAAAAGATTATTTCAGAGGACAAACCTGAAATATCACATAAGAACTGAAACAGGTGAAAAACCATCATTCACCAAGAAAAGCTCTTTGAAGAAGCAGGTGAGAATTCACACATGTTGAAGGATTTCAGTGCATAGGGCAGGTTTGTCAGAGGTTCTGGTGACCTGACATTTCACAGGAGAAGTCACCAAGGTGAGAAGTCGTATGTTAGTAAAATCTGTGGAATAGCTTTCAGTGTCTGATTCTGTAAATGAGGTATCCATGTGTGCAGATATGTTGGAGATGCGTTTGAGTGGTCGCTGCTTCTACAGATACAGCTTCTGGCAAATGCAAAACAATGACAATATACAAGTTTGCTTTTATACACTTGCTAGTTGTAGCCCAATAAACGGCGTGATAACCTCTTAAAAACAACACACCTATTTTGCAAAAATTCAAAAAAGTTATTGTCCGGTTTTCTCGACCTGCAAACTTCTCATAGTTCATCTGAATCCTAATGGAGGCAACCAAAACCAGAAATGTCACCTCCTTAAAATGACCCTGCTTCTGTTTCTGATACATATTGCTCATCATTTTTGTAATAAATCTGTTTTTTCTGGCTTTCATTTTGAATGTGAACATCCTCACTTCCGGTAACATCTCTGCTGTTAGCTTGCCGCTACATCTGCTGACAGCACAGACCTGACTTCCCTTTTGTCCCCTCTCTCTTATTCCGTGTTTGTTTGTTCCCCTAACAATGACACATATTATCTCGCGTTAGCAAAACAGACTGTTGTTAATGACATTTCCCGGTCTTACCTGGTGCTGGTTTACCTCCTCTCTGCTCGGGTTTTGACAGCCAGCCAACTCGGTGTCCGTCCTCAAACGCATCAGCGGCAGCATTAAACAACTGGCTGCTCGGCTGGTGACGTCCCGGGAAGCTGCTGACGTAAAAACTACAGGCAGCATCTTTTCTCAATTAATTTTTAATGATTTGGGTTGAATATTGAACATATGTATGAAATGTTATGTGGGACTCAAATTAATTTATATAAAAAAATATTTTACTCTGTATTAATGAAAATTATAATGACAGAAGTAGCATGGTTATCCTTTTTTAACGTTCTCCTTTTACATTCATGCTAATGGTCTAAAACAAAACCCAATATTCACCAATCTGAGAATGAAAGGAAAATGTTCTTTGAAACACTCACAAATAAGAAAGCAGGACTATGTGCATTTAACAAAGCCTTGAAAAACCCTTTAATTAAAGATTATATTAAGATTAACTTTATTTGTCCCTCGAGGTGAGACATTTGTCTTGGGCTCTTCACCCATTATTAATACTTTTCTGTTTCTACTTCAAATTCATTTACAATAGAATAGAGTAGAATTACTTTATTGATCCCTACAGCAGCAGGTTATCCAAACACACAATATTAGCAAATTTAAACACAATATGATATTAAATACAAAGTAAATAAGCACTAAAAATATTAAAACTAAGAATGAGAATATATACAACCAGGATTTAACTAAACATTACTAGTCTTAAATATGAAAGATTAAATGTAAATGTGCAAAAACAGAGTTGTAAATGGACAGTATTGACATAGGGAGATGTGCAATCAGTGATACATAAGTTAAAGTGCAGGAGTATAGACATGTTATCAGCAGAAAATGTGACAATGTTTTGTCATTTCCTCTCTCAGTATTTTCTTGTTGTCAAACAACGGTTGTTATCTAAAGAAAAAAGAAAAAAGAAGAAGAAAAGAATCAACCTAGGCTACATTATGCATTACTTCCTTTTTTTGAAAAGACTGTAAATTATTTTCAGTGCAATATTGTTTCAATTATTTCTTGATTACAAAAATAGCTGTTTTATTTGAATAAAGTCTAAAGTTCAGGATAAAAACAATATTACATTATTATTATTATTATTATTTCATATTACTTGTTAAAATTCATGATCATAAAAGTTTATTTTGTAACAGAAAATCATTTTTTTCAGAATAAATTAAAAGCATAGTATAAAATGAATTGTCTTTAACGATCATTTTGGGATGTTTTTCGGGACACACATTTCCTCATTGACTGAAACACTTTTATGTCCATCAGTTAGTTTGACCAACTGTTTTTTTACGATACTGAACTGGAAACAATATAAAAGCAATCAGCCTCATCAAGTAAAGCTCATCATTTGTTCTAGTAAGCTTTAGTAAACTGTATAAACCAGACTAGAAACGATAAAGAAAACCTATTCCTGAGACTGAAGCTTATTCAGCAGCATCAACATTAATGCTGATTATCTTAGATGAAGCATGATGTTGTATTGGTTTAAAATCCATTTCCCCCACATTTTGTCACACCATGGACATCAAGAGTCGACTGGGATTGACACTGAGCTCGATGCTGCCAGTGTGTGAAGACCGGACATGTAATTAGAGCAGTCCTGTGAGGAGCATGGGGCAGAGGGGGGAGGGCCTGGCAGAACTGTGTGTGCCATTATCATGTCAGTGATTTATCTGACGTTCATACACACAAGCACACACAAGTGATAAAAGGATTTCTTATAAAGGGTGACACAGTGAAGACCCCTTCCCCTTTTATTCTCCTGGAGGCTAAGAGAGCTAAAATGATTTCAGTTCTGGTGATATATATCTAAAAAAAATAAAAATAATGTTATACACATCTCAACAGGGAACATGTACCATTAGCTCTATGATTTTATGGAGCTACTTTATGGTCTTCCTTATGTTTGACAGTACGACCCCAGCGCTGGTCTGAGGCCATATTTGTCAAACTTTGACCTGCCAAGTCTGCAGTGTCTTTGGTGTAAATAAGTGTTTAAAGTATCAGAACTGTTGAGTTCAACTTTTTGGAGACAGCTTCTTCCAAGAAGGGATGGTCTATTACTGTGTTGAAGTAATAAACAAGATGTATGCAGCAGAGACAAGGAGAGTTTTGTTGGCAAACACGCAGCATATGAAGAGAACAACATCTCTTAAACCTCCCGGGAGGAAACACATGGGCAGAGATAAGGAGGAGGAATGACTGAGCAGGAAAACAACCAGCCTCCAATGTGCTCACTTTGCAGCCATGCAGTCACAATCAGACAAAAGTCACAGTACTTCTTACTTTATAAACAAAAAAGCCTTTTTATTCAATCTTTATATACATACAGGAAAAACTCAAATATATACAAAATCATTTCAGGGACATGAAATACCTCTTTAGAAAATAAAAGTGCAAATCTCACAGTGACTGAAAAACTGACGTGGGTCTGCAACAGATGACAGACTGGTCATCTTCACTCAAATTATATCAGCAGGAAATTAAAAAAGTATCTGAATTTGGATCACATCGGACCATTGAAATGTACAGTTCTTTTAACTAACACCACTGAAATGCTTTTTGGTCCATTTTGAAGATAAAGACCTAAAATTAGTATATCTTTTGTTACTTAAAAAAAAAAAATTGAAGGTCTTAATATTGTCTGGAAAAAGTCCTCCTTGTGTCATTAAACATTCAACAACTATCCTACAATTCAACAAGTTTAACCTGAAATCTCTACAATGTAAAATTCAACATGCTGAGGTTCTATAAGTACATTTATGATTCTAAAGTGCTCCTCACCAATAGCTCTAAAACAAATAATGCACAGTACAAAAATGGAAAATGTAAGTAAGGCTCAAAGATTCAAGAATTATATACATACTCATATATTTAAAAGACACAATAATGAAAATCACAACACAGTAACCTGATATCATATACATATCTCTCTGTTCCCCTGTCTGGAAATCAACAGTATCTGTATCTCCAGCTTACAGTTTAAAATCTCAAATAATTCCTTCTATAACTAGACCCAGTCTAGGTTTCTTTTCAACAGGCTCCTGGCCTGTATTACAAATTCCTGAGTGAAGGTGTCTTTTCTTCTTTACTCCAAGAAAGAAAAAATAAAAGTATCCATTTTTTTTTAACCTCTTCTGACTGCAAAATTGGAAAGGATTGATCATATACATCCAGCAAGATGTTCATACTAATATCACAATCTCCAGGCTTTTCCAAAACTTTTGAGTACCATCTGTAGCTCTGAAAACAGCAACATCTTGTTTCCCATCCTCATGAGATGATTTATAATCTAGAGAATAATAATGAAGTACCAAGTCCTCAGACTGCCACGCAGGTATTGTGTATGAAACAGTAAATCTCCACGGTCACAATCAGTAGAACAACATCCTCTCCATTTGATCATGCACTTTGATAAGACCATTGTCTACTTTAGCTTAACTACTGCTGCAGCTTCCTTTCGGCTACCATCTGAAAAGAACTTGTGCATCTTTGAATTAACTTCTCTGTGTTCTGATGTTAGCCAGCGGTCTGTGCTGAAAGACTTCCTTCTCAATGCAATGCCTGGTTTACAGTCCACTTAGCAACTTGAGAAGCAACTGTGTGTTAAGCTCACAAATGAAGCATAATTTGCCCCTCGAAATATATTTGAATAGTAAATTCAATAGTTTGTTTGGATCATTACAGCCCCTTTGGAGACCCTGTTCATCTGTTTCTGATGCATCTCAGTTCAACTGGAAATAGGAAGTCACACAAATGCTTCTCTCTGGTTTACTTCAGCGGTATCGACCAATAAAGAAATACATTTTCTTGCCACTTTTTACTTGCAACTAATGGGTCTTACATTTCTGAAGAAATAACAGCATCATCATGTAGATTTGCAATAAGTAAAAATTTAAGCTTTTGTCAAATCTGTCCCTAAAGAGGAGGAGACAATGTTTGTCCATTCATGTGTTGAATGGAGGTCGGATCGATCATATCTGAGGCATTCCAGGAAGTCATGAAAAATCTCAACACTTATTGGCTTTAGCAACACAGCGTCAAGCAGTTTCATTGTTTGATGAACATTTTGATCTAGAACAGATTGATAGCAGCACTCTCTGTAGAGGGCTAAGTAAATTGTTGTCAGTCTACCGCTGATAGGAGCCAGGATTTCTTTTTCCTGCATACACCAAAGCCTGCTGCTACGTGATTGGTTAATATTTCTCAGACAACAAATGCACTACTTTAGTCCCATGCTAAAGACAGCGTGTACAGATTCTACATTTTTGAAATGTAGAATCTGTAAATCGAGATGAAGGTCCATCTAGCTTTTCTCCTGGGCCTGTAGCATGTGTTGTCTAGTAGATCCTGTGCTGGTGCTGCCAAAAGCAGAGCCACCAGCCCGTTTCCTCATCCGGTCCAGAATGAAGAACCGCAGCATCAGCAGAAACCCTAAGGGGGGGGGGGACAACAACCAAGATGTAATTACTCATTAATGTGATAAATCTTTATCTAGAAGATGACTGTGACAATTAAAGAAAGGCAGAGACATATTCAGGGTCTCACTTTCCGCTTGATTTAATTTGATGCATTGAACCAAATTCTCAACAGAGTTTATTCTCTGTGATCTACTATCAATTGTTCTGTACCTGTGCATGTCTACACAATTTATTAGATTTTTTTGCCTTTACTTTTTTCTTAAATTCTAAAAAAGTCTAGTTTACAATAACCCAGAACTTCCACCAGATACATGTGCATTGCATGCCAGCTCCACTCTGTTACGGCTCCATGCATCCTCATCTGTCAGCACCCACGGGCTGCATTCACAGAGCGCAGCACGTAGCACCACCGCCTGACAGCTGGAGTCCCAACACGTGCAACAGCGCAAGATAATACAATGTATGTGGTATAAAACTGTATAAAACCCTTATAAACACATCAACAAACACACATAAGGTCATTGTTCTGGACCATCAAAACGGAGTGTTTTATTCTGAAAATAAATCGGATGTTGTAATGTTTGTTTCGGTGTCTGACTTCCTCTCCTGCTCGATCTTTTCTTTGATAAATTGTTGC